CAGCCGGTGGGTTCTGGGGGAAGGTGAGTCTGTTTTCTTTAAGGGCATGGGCCCTGGTAGACCGACTTACAGAAGATGGCCATATATCCATGCTGTGGACAGCCCAAAATGGAACTCTGTGTGTTATTTAAAAAAGGATACAAAGATGGAATAGGTGGGGGGGGGGAGTTCTGGGAAGAGTTATGAAGAGGAGTAGAGGTGAATATGGTCAAAATACTATGTATGAAATTCTCAAAGAATTAATAAAATTATTATATTTAAAAATAACCTGGAACTCGGGTAGTCATCCTTAACATGAAATGAGTTATAATTTGTCACTGAAATGGTTCTGCCAAAGGATTAGAGAAATGAACTTTATGAAATCATTTTTTAATGGTAATGCTGGAAGTCCTTTTGTTATTACAAACATTAATTAACTGCTATCTGACTCAGACTGGCAAAAGCTACAGAGCAACAATTTGCCACTGAAGACACTGTCTCTAAGCAGGCTAATATCCGAGGCATCCATTTATTTATGCACTCAGCCATATAATATTTATTGAGTATCTACCAAGTGCCCGGGAGCTGAGAAGGCCAATGTGAATAAAGCATACACATTTCTTTAAAAAAAATCAGGGAAGAGCCAGAGTTGAACAGCAGAAAATGACCACAAGGAGAAGTGAGCATTTGTGTGTAGCGCCACAAGGAAAACAGCTGGTATGTGTGTGTGTGTGTGTCTGTGTGTGCGTGTGTGTGTGTGTATCTACCATATATCTATCTGTCTGTCTTTCTATCTCTCTACTTGTGTGTGTGTGTGTGTGTGTGTGTGTGTGTGTGTGTATCTACCATATATCTATCTGTTTTTCCTTCTATCTCTCTACTTCGTTATGACACCTTGTTGGAGGATAGGTCAGACATGTAGGTAAGGGGAGGATTTAAGGGGTGTGGAGTCTTGATCCTTCCGTGTTGTGCCTGAAATAGCCTGTGCTGTAGCTGGATGGCCCATCTTAGGCTCACACATTGGTCCACCACTTCTCATTGCAACAGTGTTGGGAGGGGTTTCGGTGAAGATAACTGAGCACCAGTGAATGGATTAATGCCAGTTTCATTTCCATGAGACTTAGACTAGTTACAACAGTGTGGGCTGCTACAGAGGATTCCCCAAACTCATATCCCCTGTGGGTCTGTTTCATTTTAAAGACGGGGTCTCACCACATAGATTGGAATGGATATAGGCCAGGAGTTTGCTATGCAGATGAGGCTAGCTCAAACTCACAGAAATCCACCTGCCTCTGCCTCCCAAACCTTGGGAATACAGGGGCGCTCTCCCACACTCAGCTGCCTGGTGTCCTCTGGGTGACATATGAACCAAGCAGGTGCTGACATTAGGTTCTTGGACTTCCTAGCTTCTAGAACCACTAGCGGAAACAAAACCCTTTCCTTTTATAAATCATCGAATCTTGGGTGTTCTCTTTCAGCAATGGAAAATGATGTTGATGGCCTCTAATATGACCTCTGTGATATTTTCATCCCCATTATTGGACACAAGTCATTTATCCACATGGGACATGGAAGAGGAACAGCCTCAAACTGCTGGCAAGAGATGCAGATAATAATGTCCAAAAAAATCCATTGGGGTGGCAGATGTTCCAAGGACACAATACCAGTTGTCCTTGCAGAGGAAGAAACCCTGGATGTTGGCAATCTTGGGATTTGCTATTGCACAAGGAAGTGAATGGGTCCATCATTGTTCACTCTACACACTGGGTAGGCTTTCTGAAAGGCTGGGGTGGTGTTGAAGATCACCACCAGCTCATGGTTAGAACAGAAGTTACCCATTGTCCAAGCAGAACAGGCCTAAAGTTAGCAATACTCCATAACAGAAGAGCATCTGGCTGAGGGGTGGAGCTTCATGGCCTGGAATCAGAAGAGACTGTAGAATCATCCAGCTGCATCACCCTAGGGAAGCCCATCTGTCTTTCAACAACTCAGTCCCCTACTCTGTGACATGGGATGACTATAGTTCCAGGGCACTTGCAAAATGCTATGTGGTACATTTATAATGAGGCAGGAAGGTGAAGGCATACCCTGTGTTTGAATGCTGTCAATCACTTTTGCTCAGTTCTCACAAGAGCCACCCTCCTTTCCTGACTGTCTGAGGTCATTGCCTCCCTGCCTCTTCTGTGATAGGTTCCTGAAAGTATCCCTGCCGGGTCTACCCCTGCTCCCCGCATCCCTTCTCTTTATCTTTTAGGTCACACATATCCCTGACAATCACTTCCAGACCCTGAACTGCAAACCAGTCTGGCCCTTACCTCCTCTCTGTACCACTTTCTGTTGACATTGACTCCAAATGAAAGTCTATATCCTTGATTAAAAACCAAAAGTGACTAGAATTTTACTGGATTACCAGCTCCAATTATACAGAACACAGAGCAGTTGAGCTGTGATCCCAGTAAATTTTATACCAAGGAGCCACTTTGGTAAAGAGTGAAGACCAGGATGGAATATGGCTCAACGGTTAAGGGCTTGCCATGTAAACATGAGCACCTTGTCTTCAGAACATGTGTGGGCATGATGGTACACAGGTGTAATCCCAGTGCTGGGGAGGTAGAGACAGATGGATCCCCGAGACTCACTGGTCAGTCAGCTTGGTTGCTTGATGAGGTCCAGGTCGAGTGAGATCAGCAAGCAAACAACCAAACCCCAAAGCAGAAAAGGTAGATGGTGCCTGAAGAGCACAGACACACAGATACTCTCTCTCTCTCCTTTCCTACCTCCCTCTCTCTCTCTCCTTTCCTCCCTCCCTCTCTCTCTCTCCTTCTCCCTCCCCCCTCTCTCTCCCCTTCTCCCCCCCTCTCCTTCTCCCTCCCTCCCTCCCTCCCTCTCTCTCTCTCTCTCTCTCTCTCTCTCTCTCTCTCTCACACACACACACACACACACACTCACACACACATACACACTGATGTCAGGGAAGGGTGTATACACAGCCTTGGGATTACCTGGCTGTATTCTTGGCAATTTATGTTCTTACCCTGGGACCCCAGGCTTAAGTCTTGTAAAGTGCAAGTCAGTCAGCCTACAGATGATTCTACAGGAAGATCTATTATCCAACACGTTCATTCCATGCTGTGCCTGTTCAGCCCTGAGCCAAGCTGGCACCCCACAGGGTCCCTTGGGCTGGAGAGGTTCCCTCCTGTGATGGGAAATGGCTTTCCAAGGCTTGACTTGAGCAGACCTGACTTTGTGTATGTCACCATGCTACTGCCCTCACAGCCATGGTCCTCCTTAAGGGGAGACCATGTAGATTCAGGCCTCTACGGAGTGAACCATTTACTCATCAACACCATCATCTTCTTCACCAGCCCATCCTGAACTCCTTCTCACAGCAGCTCTCTGAGGGTGAAATCACGGCCATTTCTTTGTTTTTGTTTGTTTGTTTTGTTTTGTTTGTTTCGAGACAGGGTTTCTCTGTATTGTTTTGGAAGGTGTCCTGGAACTCACTCTGTAGACCAGGCTGGCCTCACACTCACAGAGATCCACCTGCCTCTGCCTCCCGAGTGCTGGGAATAAAGGCATGCGCCACCAACATCTGGCTTAATCATGGCCATTTCTAAGACTTCAGAAACCAAGTAGCTCACTGGTCTACCTGGAGAAGTTTTCTTCTGAGGCAGGCCCCACACTCCACAGGCATTCATTCTCTCACAGAAAATGCTTATTAACTAAATCAAGCCCCAATTTTCATCTGAGAACAAAGTAGGGTGACCAGTTCTCTATAGAAATTTCCTGGTTTAGCACAGAAGGCCCACATCCCTGGAACCTTCCCATCCTTGGCAAACCAGGACCATTGCTCACTCCAATTCCCATGGCTGACAAATGATGATATATACGAGAATCTGGGTATCTGGGATGGGTGACTATAGATCAAACATTTCCATGACTGTAAGAAATACTGGGAAGAGTGCATTGTAAGTTCATTATTCCTAGAATTTGGCATCTGAGTGCCAGTGACTCTTAATCTCAGCTGTAGGTTAGAATCAGGAGATCTCTGAACTTTACCTCTCTTAGGGTGGAGTCAGTCTACTGGGGTTGTATTTTTAAGGTCCCCAGTCACCCTAGAGGAGCCACCAGCACAAAGAGATAAGTTGAGGGCCAGCATTCATCCTTTATTCCTACAGTGCTAGTTGTAGCCCCCCCCCCATCCCAATCACTTCCTCTCCTTGTAGAAGACAAGGAAAAGTCATTTGTGAAGTACAAAGAAACTTCACCAGCTGAAATTGGAGATGGTGTCGCTGCTGGGTGTAAAATCTGAAATAACATCAGACAAGTGCAGAAAGAGATATGTACAAGAATGCTAGCAGCCATCCTCAGAGGAATGAGAAAGTAAAGTGTGGCAGTTATACCTATAACTAGAATGAACAAATAAGCTAAAATGTACTAACATGGGAATAAAGTGAATATATTCTCTCTCTCTCTCTCTCTCTGTATGTATGTATGTATGTATGTATGTATGTATGTATGCATGCATGTATTTTATAATGTATGTATGTGTATGGAGAGAGGCTACTATCTTGCAGGACTTGGAAGTCTTCATTTGGATGAGAAGCATGCCTCATAGCGGAGGATTCCTGGGTGTGTGCTAATGTCTATAACTATAATAAAAACTGATAAGACAGCATGATAGCCTCTTGCCAGCCGAGAGTGTCTTTCTCTGCAGACCTCAGGATGATCAGAGAAATCCCAGCACTGGGTCGGGTCACTGTCTCTGCACTGAAGTCCTGCACTGCAACCCAGAACCAGAGTCTTCTTAGTGCAAGCCTCTGCATTGCTCTACAGAAGGTGCAGAGCTGGGCACTCCGTTCTCATCCATCATCCCTCCCTCCCTCCCAGTATCCAGAGAGCAAGGACTCCATTAGGAATGTAGGTGCGATGGGAAACCTGTGCGTGCAAGCTTGTTCATTTTGCCTGGCAGTTCTAGGTTGCTCACAAATGTCTCGTTTTAAGAAAAGCCAAGAGCTTACCTGGTCCCAGTTTGGCCACGGCATAGAGGAGGTCATAGTTGAGGACCGGCGTGGCGTCGCTGATGGGCTTCCAGCCAACAGGAGGAGACGAAGGGGGCGAGATGAGGAACTGTTTGGCAGGCTGTGGGGGCGCCAAATGTAGTTTGTCTCCATCCGTCTCAGGGGTCTGGACCTTTCAAACAGAGGAGAATGAGAAATGGCTCCTTCCACGCCTTCAGCTGGGCAGGGCTTCACTGATGGTCAGACTTCAGTGGCAATCCCTCCTCACCGCACACCACATGCTCATCATCTGAGTCAGTGCTGGAAACAGTGCTTTCCAGTTTTTGATAAATGCCAGGGTCACCTCGAAGGTTTCCAAAACGTATGCCGAGCCCTACTCCAGCACTATGCTGTGTGCTCTTGTGAGTGTGCTGTGATGTCCTTCCTCAGGCACCGTATCCCTCCCTGACTTTGTTTTCCGTTTGTTTGTTTCAATTGCGCACTGCTGCAACTCTACTGAGCTCCTAAACCAGTGCTTCTCAACCCGTGACTTGCAGCCCCTTTTGGGTGTCGGGTGATCCTTCACAGGGGTCACTTAAGACCATCAGAAATCACAGATGTTTACATTACAATTCATAACAGTAGCAAAACTACAGTTATGAAGTAGCAACGGAAATAATTTTATGGTTGGGAGACATCATAACATGAGGGACTGTATTAAAGGGTCGCACCATTAGGAAGGTTGGGAACCACTGTCCTGATCCTTCCCATTGTCCCAAGGATAACTATACACTCCTTAAATAAAGACTACCCCTGTAGTATCCTACTACCCCTTGATGGTTGTGAAGCTGTGTCTACTTCTGCGGACTTAACCTATTTTGTGACACTGGAACCACAGAGAAGGTGAGCTTTTGTGTCTAGCTTCCTACCACATTTTAAAGGCCCATTACTTTGTGATGGATTATCAATAGTTCTTTATACAGCTGAATAATATTTCTCTGTATGAAAATACCACCATCTCTTTATCCCTTTATCAGTTGAATAACTTTGGGCTGCTCTCACTTTTGACTTATTGTGAACAGTGTTGCTAAGAATATTGCTGCCTAAGTATTTGTTTGAGTTCCCTGTTCTTAGTACCTAGAAGAGTATTGCCAAGTCACACGGTAATTCAATATTATCTTTTAATGGAACCTATTTATCACATACTGCACACACACATACATATACATACATGCACATAGGGTCTTTTTGTTTTGAGACAAGGTCTCACTGTGTAGCTCAGGGTGGCCTTGAATGCAAGGTCTTCCCCCTCCTCAGTCTCTAGCATGCTGGGATTACAGGCATAAATCCTGATCCTGATGCAGGTTTTAATAAATGATGACCTGAGATTTGTCCTAGCTACATGAATTTGTAAGAGATGTAGATTTTTAGCAGGAGTCTGAGGCTGATTCCTGGGATCTTTCCACTGTGCTATGTTTGTGTGGTCCAAAGTTGGAACCCCACTCTCAGATCGTTTGAGAGGTGACTATTGCCTAGTAACGGATGAAGCCTTGATGGAGATAACGGATACTGACTGTCTAGTGTTGTGGACCTCATGAACTACCTATCCTTGTTTAGGATAGTGAGCATTTGGTTTTGCAAAGCATAAAATTAATTTTCGTAGATTTATAACCCTTTGTTGCGATTCTGAATCATTAATAAATCATAGTTTTAGCAGACCATCAAATCTATTGTTTAAATTTTACTCATAACCCTTTCTGGGAAGGTTAGGAGTCACTGTGGTGAGATACTCTCTACTGCAGCTCCTAGCTGGAATTTACCAGAATCCTGGCACTGCTGTGCAGTCTTTCATGTCATCATCACGAAAGCGGTATGGGCTGATGACGTCATCTTTCTATCTTGTAGATGAGGACTCTGAGTCCCAGTGAGCTTCTCTGACTTCTCTTGGTTACAGCTCAGCTTGGCAGCTCTGAGAGTCCAGGTCCTCAGACACAGACACTGCTCAATCTGTGACTCAAGACCTGAGTCATGTCTTCTCTTGTTTTAAAAACTTAACCGGGTGAGAATTTCACACATGTATAAGTGTATTTTGATCATATTTGCCGCCATTCCTCTCCCCTTCCAACCTCATGTTCTTTACGTTTTCATATCCTCTGAGTCTAATTTGTGCTGTCCGTGGGTGTGGGACCATATCCACCTGAACATGGTCAACCTACCAGAGGCCACACCCACAAGGAAACTGCCTCCTCTCCTATCAGCCATCAACTGGAAAAAGCACCTCAGTTGGAGGTGGGGTCCACCACCTTATAGTCCCCCTGCCCCTCCATGCTAGAATGTTGACTGGCTTATCTTGTACAGGTTTTACACAACCAATGACTTTCTTTCTTAGTGAACTAATTATAACAGCAAACCAGTTCATGCACGTGCAGTGCCAGTGGCCAGAAGAAGGCACTGGATCCCCAGGAACTGGAGTTACAGACAGTGCTGAGAATCAAACCCTAGTCCACAGGAAGAGCAGGCAATGCTCTTAATTGCTGAACTATCTCTCCAGGTCCGCATTTACATTTTAATTTATTGATTTTTAAATTAACAACGACTTTCTAAAACTTTATTTTGTGCGCACGAATGTTTTACCCATGTTTACATACAGGCACCGCCTGTGTTCCTGGCGTGCCAAGGGGTCAGAAGATGGCACCAGATGTTTGTGGACCACTGTGTGGCACTAAGAATCAAATCTGCTTCTTCTGCAAAGGCAACGAGTGCTCTAAACCTCTGGGCCAAAACAGCGGGGTGAAAAGTTACCTGTGCGAAGTAGAGTTTTAGCTTCTTCCCTCGGAACTGGGTCTCATGAAGCTCTATCCGTGCGCGGGCAGCAGATTTGGGGTGGCTGAAATTTATTCGGACACGTCGGAAACTCTTAAACAGCTGGAACGTCACACATTCATCATAAGTTCGGAACAGTCCCTCAAATTTTTCCTGATAAAAACAAACAGAGAAAGGAATTTACTGGTCATGGGTCTTGTATGATGCCATGTGACAAAAGCAGGTAAAGTTCCTTAGGAGGCTGTTGAAAACAGAAAGTTGAAACAGAAGGCACAGTGGCCAGACACAGCAGTTCCCTTAGCCTGGGTAGCCATGAGAAAGAGAAGTGACGTTTTCCATACACCTACCCCAGCCTGTAGCCGATTTTGTTGTGGCGTAGAAAAAAAAAATCAACCAACCTTTATTGCATTAAACTGATACCGTTTTGGTTCTTTTAAACCTCCTGCAGCATAGTCAAGATGCCATAATGCAAAGCGTCAATTTAAAAAGTTTGATTTGATTTACAATCTTAATTCAACTGAAAAACACTCACTACATGTTCACTTGGTACAAGGCTTGGTCTCTCCTTAGGTTTTAGAAAGATACAGAGACGGGGGTCATTTTGTTCTGATGTGCGGGTGTCTAAAAATTTAACATGAGAGGTCAACACAGACACAAATAAGAGAACACCCAAAAGAGAGGGGTCAAGAAAGCATAAAAAGTAAAAACCATAGAACTAAACGCATGTGTACATAAGATTAACACCATCTATAGACTTCTTCCTAGCCTTAGAAAAGAACTTACTACTAGAAAGCCAGTGTAGTAAGCACTGTATATTCTTAATAGAGAAATGGGTCTTAAGACAGTCATTTCTTTTATAAAGAGTTTTATAAAGATTTATTTATTTGTTTGTTTATATAGTGTTATGTTAGCATGTCTGCCTGAAGGCCAGAAGAGGGCACCAGATCTCATTATAGATGGTTGTGAATCATCATGTGGTTGCTGGGACCATCATGTGAACTCAGGACCTTTGGAAGACCAACTAGTGTTCTTAACCACTGAGCCATCTCTCCAGCCCAAGAGAGTAATTTCTATAATTAAAAAATCCTGATTTTTAAATTCCAATAGTCAACAGTATTTTGTCATAACAAGTAGAAAAGTAAATGCCTCAACAACTTAACAATGGATTCTCCACAAGTCATAGAAGTATGTGTGTGTGTGTGTGTGTGTGTGTGTGTGTGTGTGTGTGTGTTGTAAGTATGCCAGTGAGTTGTGCACAGGTCAGGACCAGAGGTTGATGCTCAGTGTCTTTCTCAATTCCTCTTCACCTCAGTTTTTGAAGCACAGTCTCTCAGTCAACCAGAGCTCATCATTTTAGCTATGCTGGCTGGGCAATGAGCTCTAGGATCCACTTGCCCCTGTCCTACCCCAAGCCCAGGGGTTATATGGCTGTATGCCACCATCTCTGGCCTTTAATTGAGTGCTAAGGATTCGATAGCAGGTACCTTATTTACTGAGTCATCTCTCTAGCCCAAGCCTCATAGCTTTAACCTGATGGATGATGAATTTGCCCTTTCCCTCTTCACTGACCTTATTTTACAATTTGATATTCCTGGCTCACTCAGTAAGTCACTGGCAGAAGCTCCTAGGACCCTGGATACAAAGCTGCTTTTTAACTATATGAGTAATTGCACTACTAGACTGAAGGGAAGAAATCTGTTAGCATAAGTCAGGGTAGGACAGCTCTAAAATGACCCTGGGTTAAGGTTATGACCAAATGAAAGAGAATAAACATACAATGTGAGGTTTGGAACCCATGAGTCCTCTGGATTTTTAGAGCAGGCCTCTGCTGTCTAGGAAGGGTTTCCTGTCTCTCTGGCTCCAGAAGATTTCGTCTCAGCCTGTTTTGTACATGGCTGTGGTCCTTCCAAGCTCAGGCAACACCCCAGGCTGAGTCGACCATAGCTCTTTCCATGCTTGACTCCCATGCCTGATGACACTTTCTCTTGTATGTGAAATACATCATTCCATTTCAATAACCCAGAGCATCCACCAAAAGCTTTGGGCTCCTTTTGCTTCTTTATGCTTATAGACACAAACCAAGCATTTTTCCTTGACATAGACAGAACAAAGATTTTTTCTCCTCATCTTTCAAGTTTTGGGATAAGCCAGCCCTAAAACCTGGGCCTTTAGTTTACCTCTCCAAGGAGCTCATTAAAGAATTCTTTCTCTCAGTCCTGTGCCTTCCTAGACAGGAATTCTGATATTTAGCACCCTCCACATGCCACCTCCCTGCACAGTGCAAATGTCTGATCTGATCAAAACTCAGTCAGTGGTTTGATTAGCTATGTGAGTCTTCAGAAATGAGAGGGGTTAAGATATTAAAATTCTCATTTTCCATTTAGCATGTGTTTTAGGGCAAAATTCTTGAGTCATGTTTCTGGGTCACTTATCTTCCTACTAGGGAACATCCCCTTCTCCATCTCCTCTCCAGGGTCTGAAAGTGAGCAGCCAAGGCTGACTAGTGGAGGGCAGGTTTTGTCCCCTATTGAGTATCTGATGTGGGAAGTCCTTCTGTGTATATGTTGTCCTACTGTTTGATTCATAAAGCACTGTTGGCCAATAGCGAAGCAAGACAGGTGGGACTAGGAGTCGAAGAGGATTCTGGGGAATGTAGCCAAGAGTGGAGAGTCACCATCAGGATGCCATCCTCGGAAAGGTAAGTTCATATAAAAATATATATTAGTAATTATGGGTTAATAATTAAGTCAGAGATAGCCATCAAGAAACCATAGCAAATGGCTTCATAATTAATATAGCATCATGTGTGTTCATTTGTGACTGAGGTGGCTCTGGGACCAGGCTGGTGGGAAAAAGCACATTACAAGCATCCACTCCTTCCTCCTTCTCCTCCTCCTCCTCCTCCTCCTCCTCCTCCTCCATGCTAATCAGTTTGAGCTGCCAACCTCACGTACTCATGTTAAAGGAAAGCAGTCAAAGAGCTGGGCAAGAGCTCTAGACAAATGGCCCCTGCTCTGTCCGCATTGAAGAGCCTTGGTCATGCAGCAGCGCTATAATTGTTTTTTCCACTGATCTTTGAAAGATGTTTCCATGCCATTGTTGCTGGAGTTGGCTTCTAATATAAATATCCTAGGTAATTTCTGTTACTATGACAAAATATCCTGACAAAAGATAAGAAAATAAGGAAGTAATGTTTTGTTTGGATGATAACTCCAAGTGACAGTCCATCATTTGGGAGAAGGTCAATGCAGGAACCAAGCAGCTAGTCACAGACACCTGCTCTCAAGAGCAGAGAGAAATGAAGGTATCCATGGTCTTGCTTATTTATTTAGTTAACTTTCACTCTTGCATAGTTAAGGACCCAGCCCAGGGAATGATGCCACAAAAGGAGCTCTTGACACCCTTACCTGGAGATCCAGCTCAGTGGTCAGGGACCAGGGTCTTCATTGGACCATATGAGGCTATATGCCTGGAGTGATGCTAATACACATCTACTATGTGCTTGGAAGGGCCCCTCTACAAGTTTTCATGAGATTGCAGTAGGGGTGAGTGAAATCTAGCCAATAATGGGGGGTTTCCATTAGTGACACTATAAATACTTGTATTTTGAGTCAATAAACAGTATACAAGACAATTTGGCTAGAGAAAGACCATATTGAGCCTATCTATATATCCATAGATAAAACAATTACATAGAAGGATCCACTGTAGGGACCTTCCACCTCCACCACAGCAAAGATATTACTGTGTTGATGCTCAGTGTCCACGAAGCACATAGTCAAATAGGTCTCTCCACCTGACAGTTTTCCCCATCGTGGAACCCCTCACATTTGACTGTGAGGTCTCCCTGTAGTTTCTGATCTGTCCTGTTCTGTGGTGTCTCTCTCGAATGTTTAGTCTTAGGATGCGCACTCTCAGAAATTATTGAAGAGCCTGAAGAGCTTTTATAGTACAGATTCCCTCTCTTAATATTTATTGTTCCAGAAATAAAACAGAAGTTTGAAAGTATTTACTTGCAGATGCATTTCCAAGTAAGAGTAACACACGGGTTATATGGTAACCTTATTATGAGAAATTTCTGTTTTCAGAAAAATGGCACGATATGGCCAGAAGATTGTCAATGCTTTCCATGTTGTAAACCACCTCACCTTTAACCTTCCATCTATTTCCAGTGCACTAGCTGCTGTCACTCATGGTATGAAGTAGTAAGTGGGAAGTGTGGATTATGAGAATAACCTCTCGGGAATGTTGCTGTTCTTCCTTGATACGACAACACTTGACAAGGGGCCACTCCTGAAGGTTACGGCAGCTCAGAAATCTGAAGCCACAACCAAATATCACTTTAGCTATATTAAGGCTCATTGATATAGTTTTTACTTTCAGTGGAGTTTATTGTTAACCCTTGCATGATTTTATAATAGTGGACATTGTCATTTGTGAAATAGCTTCCCTAAGTTACATGGCCTTACAAAACGATCAGGAGGGTTTTCCTTTTTCAAAGTTAGCATACAAAGTAGTGGGCTTCGTTCTGGCATTTGCATCCACGTTATTACACCGTGTTCTTCTTCATCCTTCCCCCTGTGCCTGCACTCAACCCTGTCCTCCTCTCCCACTGCTGTCTTCCTCCGCACCAAAGGTTCCCCTCTGCTACTCACAGAGGACACGCCTTCTATTGCATGGAAGACATCGGGTTTTGTGTTTTCTACCCTTTGATAGATTTGGATTTTTAAAAAAATTTTGTTTTGGTTTTCGAGACAGGGTTTCTCTGTGTAGCTTTGGAGCCTATCCTGGCACTCGCTCTATAGACCAAACTGGCCTCGAACTCAGAGAGCCGCCTGCCTCTGCGTTCCAAGTGCTGGGATTAAAGGTGTGCACCATCACTGCCCAGCTAGATTTGGTGTTTGTAAGTGTAGCCTGTGTACTAGCTCTTTATTTGAGGGATATTAATGTTAGTTTTCTTTCATTTTGCATAGTCTAAGAATTTCATATATGTATGATATCTTGACCTAATTCACTCCCAGTTCCCTCCAATTCATCCCTCATCTCTCCCTACTTGTCCTTCACAACTTCATGTGCCCATTCTAAAAGATTTACTTATATTTTACATGTGTGAGCATTTATGTTTATGACGATGACACACGATGCATGTGCCT